AAGACCAAGTGACCAGCCACCAGCTGCTCGATCCAGAGAGAGAGCCACGTGGTACAAAGAGAGAGCACGTCTAAAATGGCTCCCTATATATGCCCCAAAGTCCCAGAATGCCTGCTTAGCTCCACTCTTGGGTCCTCGCAGTTGTCTCCCTGGTACTGCTGGGAGTTGTAGTTTCTAGTCACTGGAGTAGGGGGTGGAGTCCACAGAACTCTGCAGAGTTCCTTCAGGACATCATTTCCCCCTAACAGTTCTACTCCAGCCCTATGTGTGGGTGACTTTTAATGAAAGAACACTGTGTTGCCCACTGAAAATTTCTCCATAGCATAAAAAGTGCTGGATATGGAGGCTGGAATTTCAGTGGGCTGAGGGTGCCTACCCTGCTGACAGCATCAGCAAAGGATGGACAACATGTTCCAGTATATGCTGACGCAGCAGGCCCTGCAAATCATCCATCACCAGACTTCAGTTGCAGAAAGAACTTCCTTTCTGAAAAACAAATTTCCTTTGAAATTAAGAACCCCAAGTCCAACTTTAGCAAAATAGAAAAAAGAGTTTAAAAGTTTGAATTTAGAAGTATTGAATTTTAAAGTTTCAATAAAGCACATTCTTCAAAAAAAAAAATCAATACCTAAATTCTGTTATGTTGCCAGCCAAGAAGTCACTCTAAATTGGACGTTTTCAATGGCAGCAGTTTCCCCAAGCATCCACTGGGAAAGCTTTTCCTGTGTTTAGCACAACGGTATCTGTGGCAAAATCTCAAAACCAACTTTATCTGTGGTTCCGTGTTTATGTGTCGCTGTTGTGTAGTCCCAAACTAGGCTTCAGCTCTGTTGTGTTACTATACAAGTGAGCAGCTTTCTACTCTGAACATCCATTCTTCTTAAGAATTGGTAATTATCTTCTCCTGCTCTTAACTGCAGTAAGGTTAGAAATGTGAAAAAACATCAACATCCTTAGAGGCAATAAAACCTACAAATGCAGCAAAACTTAAAAATCCTGTCTGCTCCATCCCACACAGTTCTGCTCTGTTTGTATTTAAGCCCCAGGTGAGGCCCCAGGCGGGACTTCCCACCCTTCCCACCCTGCCCCACTGCCAACTCCTCTCTGATCTTGGGATTCTCTTTCTGTGTCTCACAGAAGAAGCATGTTGTGGCAGGATTTACATATAAAGCTCTTAGAGCAATGTCCCACACATGCTCAATATGTCAGCCATCAATTTTACACACATAAGCACTTATGCACATGGAATATTTGCATTGTGGGTAAATGATTGTTTATGTGGGAACTTAACGCGGCTATATTGCCAGGCTCTTACTCTACTATTTTCTTTTTGTAAAAAAAAAAAAAGAAAGAAAGAAATTTATAAGTTACAATTTTCATTCTTAGTACTGCATTAACATAAGTTTTTCCATTTACCACCCTGAGGGTTTGCATAAGGTTTTTTTTTTTTTTTTTAACACTGGTTTATGGGTCTGGTATTTTTAATGAGTATGTATCTTGAATTCACATATTGAGAGTGGCCTTTATTCTGTTACTCTGGGGCATCTGTTTTCTTGTGTATAAGAAAAAAGTGGGAGTTGGTGTAAAAGAGCTAAATTTCTGTGAAATTATACAGCAAAGCTGACTTTTGAAAATTAATAATTTATCCTATCATCCAGCCACAGAGAAAAAATACTATCTTCTGACCCAAATATCATCTTCTTAGAAAAGATGGCTTTAGAGCAATAGATTTACATCAAATAAAAATTACCTAGATATTGAAGGCTTTTACTTGCAACATGAATATTGGGAAACCTTAATTATTTAGAAAAGTTTTACCTGGAATTCTCTAATCTAATTATCTAGAAATAGAGCATGAAATGTATTACATATACATATATATGCAATTTTAAATTTACTGGCAGCTACATTAAAACAAGTCGTAAGAAACATGTGAAATTAATTTTGATGATATATTTTATTTAGTCCATTGTGTTCAAAATACCATATCAACAAGTCACCAGTATAAAGTGTTGAGATAATTTATTGTTCTTTTTTTCCCTAGTAAGGTTGTGAAATCCAGTGTGCATTTCCTGCAACATTTTGCCACAGGAACTACCTGCACACAAGTGCTCATCCCAAGATGTGGCTACTGGTTGCTCAAAAACAGTTTACTTCTCTGTTTTATTTCTCCCCTTGGCCCATCCCAGAAGTAGGAGCTTTGCGAAGAGATTGAAGTCACCACAACAGCTAATCATCATTCTATGGAAGGGACCAAAGAACAGTCTATTCTGGAAGATTAATTCGAATTGTGGGGTCAGAATTCATTTGCCATAGTGCCCAAGTCTCACACAAATGAAGAAAAGAGGTTCAGATCTTCATTTTACCAAGAGACCCAAATTCAGAGGCCTCCAGTGAAATACATTAAGGGTTTTTCTGCCAAATAAAAATGAGGCCGATTATTCTTAATCTCAAAGGGATGCTTGGCACCTTAGCATTTACAGAGCATTTCTTTTGTCCTCAAGGAGGAGCTGACTGAGGTCCTAGCTTGTCACCTTCCCGGGGTCTTAATCAGGATAGAAGACTGACCTTCTGGACCCTCTTCCTGTTTTTTTTTTTCTGTTTCATCCAGACAGTCCTTATTCTGTTCTCTGTGAATTTCACTTGCTATTAGAACTTCCTTCACTCCACTCCCAGAAAGCAGTTTTCAAGGTCACCTAGACTGAGACCTCTTATCGCTGACACCATCTTCCCAGGCATTCAGGCTAGGAAGCTCTTTTCTCTAATTGAATCCACCTTCAGATCAGGTCCCGTGACCTCTGAACTGTCCATTGTACCCACTATCCCCTGTCTTCTTACCATTGTCCAGGTCAGACTTCCTTCTTGCTTGCTTGCATTACTGGCCCTGCAGCACAAGCCCACAAGACCCAGCATTCCAGGCATTTCTAGGGCTCTGTAACATGGCCATGGAGCTCCTTTTGCCTGGCATGCCTCTGCTTATTTCTCTGGCAGGAGATCCTAGAGGCCTCCCAGGTTTAACACCGATGTCACCCAGTATTCAACCTCCCCTTATAAGCAACCCACACCAACTCCTTCATGAACTAAGTGCTCCCTCCTGAAATCCCAGTAAAGCTACTATTTAACATTTTCTCAGCCCATCTATTACCTGGAAGTGTATCTCCTGGCAATACTGTGGGCAAGGCCCTACATTAGCATACTAATTCTGGGCCAGACCTCCAAAAAATGTTTGTAGCTTTACAAAGGGGAGACAATGTCCCTTTTTGCATCAGCACAGTTAGCCTCAATTCTGCTGAGTTCTGAGGGCCTCACAGAAGGCAAGAGGTCAAAGGACCCCACATTAGGAATGGAAGCCATTGGATTCTAACTTTGGCTCTGCTCCAAAGTAGGTCTTTACCTTCAGTCGTGCGCTGCTATATTTTAGTGTTCTTGGCATAATGATCACGATAATTCTAGCTGCTAATATTTATAAGGCAGCAGCCACATGCCAAGCAATGTTGTAAGCATTTTTTCATGAATGAACTGAATTTTACTTTTTAGAATGAAAGCTGTAGCATTTATCAGACTAAAATCCTTTATCCTGTTGTATTTGGGGCTGAAAGAGATATGATAGCTCTGACTCTTGCAGTATTGAGGAAACTAGGACTCGGGTGACACAGACCACCCAGGTGATTCAGCAGGTGACAGGGTTGCTCTCTTGTGCTGTGCTCACCCACACCCCACTGCTTCTCTAGGACAGGAGTTGGGCTGGCACTGGCCAGGGTCTCATTTGGAGGTGTGCAATGTTTTACAGCATATGATCTAAGAGAGCTATGTTTTTGCTGACCCCTATGTATCAGGAATCAGCAGCACTCAGTCCATGCCTAAATATTTCTTAACAATTCCATTTCAAATTTGACTTTTTTAAAAAGTTGACTCCCAGTAAAAATTTCAATCACAAAATAATTCCTCTAGCAGGCATGAGTAGCAGGCCATTAGAAATCTAGGCTCAGCTATAGATGTGCTAATGACAGTTCTTGAAACTGCAGGAGGAAGGAGCCGGCTTCTCAGAGGCTCAGTCACTCTAGTCAAGGCTATACCTTGTGGCTTCCAGGGCAATGCCACCCTGACCCTCCTGTGTACATCTGGTCATAATTTTCTTAAAAGTATGTCATCATAATCAGCTGATATTTCTATAACAAAACACCATAGACTGGGTGGCTTAGCAGCAGACATTTCTCACAGTTTTGGAGGCTTGGAAGTCCCCTGGGGAGGAAGGGGGAAGAAGGGAGAGAGGAGAGACAGAGCATATTTCCTCCTCTTTTAAGGACACTAGTCACCTCATGGGGGGAGGGGGGACTTACGCTCCTACTCCTGACCTCATGGAACCCATTTACCTCTCAAAGGGACCCCAAATAACACATTGGGGGGGGGGGTGTTAGGACTTCAGTAAAGGAATTGGGGGGAACCTAAATATTTAGCCTATAGCATGCCTCAATTCAAGCTTCACTTTCTGAGAGGCTGCATGATATGGTGAGAAAAGGAGAGAACTGAAGTCAAAAATCCCTGCCACGGGTTCAGTGACCTTTGGGGAAATCGGGTAATATGACCAGCCTGCCTGGTGGGGTTGTGAAACTCCAAGGAGATGTGAATGAAAAGACCTGGGATGAGTGGACGCTCCTGTTCCCTAAGAGGTAACCATGATTGGAGAATGCTATTTAAAACCTTTAACCTTTGTACCCCCAGAGAAGAGCACAGAATAGGATCACCATCCAGCCTGGGAGAAGCCCCAAACCTTTTACTGGTCCGTTTTATGCACCCTCATCTTTAAAAGAAACCCTTGACATTCCCTAGGCCTGAAGGCCACGGTGCAGGGCGACCCACTGGCCCCTGGCGCATTGTGAAGTGGCCAGAGCGTCACAGGCTACCCGGAGCCCCAGAATGGGGGGGGCGGGGCGGATCTCCGCAGCGCCCCTAAGCAGCTCGAGGACCCGGCTCAGAGGCTGCGCGCGCCTGGACGCGGAATGGAGAGCTTTCACCGCTTCTCCCCGCCGCCCTGCCCAGACCTGTGGGAGACATCGCCGCCCCGCGGAGAGCACACCTCCTCTGCGCGGCTGAGCGCGGCCCGGGCGCAGACGGACCCGCGCCTGTACTCCTGGGGCGGGACTGCCCGCGAGGGGAGGGAGGCGGCAGCGCACTGGCAGCCCCAATGCAGCCCACCCACACCGTGGACTCGGGGACACCGATACCACGACCCGCCACGGGAAAGCCACAGCCTGAGCGACCTGGCCCGGAGGCCCCAGCCGCGCGCCAGGAAACACAGGTCCCACTGCCGGCACCTGGACAATGCCGGCCGGCAGACAAAGACCAAGCCTCGGTCCCGGGAGGGCAGCCAGCACATCCTCGCGTGGCAGGAGCAACCCCAGCAACCTCTCTACCAGCACTTCCCTCCAGCCCTGGGGGATTCACCCCCACCTTACCCTGAGGGGACCTACACTCCCCTGAGTGGCACTTTGGGGATGGAAAAGGCGCAAAGTGGCGATCAGTGGGCTGTGCGGGTCTGCAGAGCACAGGGTGGCGGGTCCTTTTCCTCCGTCCCCACGGAGAAGTCCCAAGAGTTCAGAACTCCCTCCGCTTGCGAGTACACCCAGAAAAGAGAGATCAGTGACCTGGTGGAGTCATTAGCCAGCCAGTACTCCCAGCCTTCGGTCTCCAGCAAGGAAATGCAGAGCCAAATCCTCAAGAACAAGCTGGAGGAGGTGGTACTGTCCTCCAGGGACCAGAAAATTGTGGCCCTGGTGCTGACTCGGCTCAAGAAGGCCCAAAGGATGCGGGAGCTGCAGCAGCAGGCGGCTGAAGCCTGGGAGGAGCTGAAACAATCGGACCAGAAGGTCCAGATGACTCTGGAGAAGGAAAGGAAGCTGCTGCTGCAGGAGAGCCAGGAGCAGTGGCAGCAGGTGGAGCAACACAAGACACAGTGCAGCAGGGAGCAGCAGCGTGTCCGCAGGCGGGACAGCCGGACCAAGAACGCCATGCACCAGAATCCGTGGAAGGCGCACCTGGAGGACCAGCAGAAACAGCGCCAGAAGACGTCGGAGAGCGTCCGAGCTGTGGACCAAGTGAACCAGTGCCAGAAGCTGGACAGGGCCCGTGCCCAGGCCCAGGAGAACCAGCGCCAGGAGAAGCTGGAGAAGGTGCACGCCCAGGCCGAGCACCGGAAGCAGTGCAAAGCGCTGCGTGTGCAAGAGCAGGAGAGGACGCTGCAGGACCTGCAGGAGTATGACAGCCTGCAGCTGCAGAAGAGGCTGGAGCAGGCTGGTCACAGGAAGCAGCTGCACACGATGGAGAGCCAGACGAAGGTCCATGAAGCTAACCTTAGCTCCCTAGTCAATTACCAGGCCCGAAAGGTTCTGATGGACTGCCAGGTCAAGGCGGAGGAACTCCTCAGGAAGCTGTCCCTCGAGCAGAGTTCGCAGTGTTCCCAAGAGGTCCACCAGAGCCTGATGAAGGAGCGTCACCGAGAACGAAGGAACAAGGCCCGGAGAGAAGAGGAACAGTTCCAGCAGGTCAGGTCCCGCGCGGAAGAGTTGGAGGAACAAAAGAAGATGCACAGGCAGTTTCTGGCGCAGCTGGCAGACCAGAAGATCAGGCAGGCCAGGAGAAACGCCCACAAGAACCTCGGGGACAAGGTGCAGCACCTTCGGGAGCTGAACACCCTGCGGGAGAAGAACCATCACATCCTGAAGCTGAAAGCCGAGAAAGAGGAAAAGTGTCATATCGAGGGCATCAAAGAAGCCATTCGGAAAAAGGAGCAGAGGATGGAGCAAATATCGCGGGAGAAAGATGCCTGCTTCCAGGACCTCCATGAGATGTCCCGGGCCTCCAGGAGAGACCACCGGAGAGCGGTCCCCACAAGCTACTTTGCTGGTCCAGGGCTGGAGACCCAGCAGAGAGGAGACTACTGAGGACCAGAGACAAACCGCTCACACCCAGGCGACCAGAAAGAGATGTGGCAGGGTGATCCGTTTTATAATCGGGTTATAATTGAGCATTGATTTTTTTTTGTAAGTATATAAAATAGCTACAATTTCCTCTCATGAACTAGTTTATTGATTTACTTGGATAATTGAAAGGATAGGGAATAGATATTGGGGGTTTTGGGGTTTTTTCTAGGAAATTACTTGCCTTTGTAACTTTTGATTTAAGTAGAAAATATTCATTTAGGGCTCAAGTAATCTTCAAATCAGTAGGTACATAATGAAAGAATGAGAAAAATCAATTGTAGGGGATACAGTTTTGTTATGTTCCAGAACCTAGGAAAGGGGGAAGTGTCAGACATAAGACATGAAAAAATCTCAGGGAAAGATTCCTGTAAACTAGTAGATTTGGGCATTCTTGGACATGTGGAAAAATTAAAGGCTCTGAAAAGGTCTGCAGCGAATGGATTTGTTTAACCTATCACAACAGCTTTTCACAAACCGGGAAACCCTCATTTTCTCAGATCATCCCAGGGGACTGGCACTCTATGAAAAGTTTTTGGAAATAGTTCCAGATTGCTAAGACTGTTAAGAGTTTTCTACCACAGCCAAGCTATCCAGACCTCACTGGAAACTACTTGATCTAATTCTCTGTCTTTTTCTTTTCCATCAGTCCTATCTAGTCTTTTGGAACAAAATTCTGTTGGAATTCTTCTCATCCTGTTTCTTCTTTATCTCTTCTGAGGAAGATATATGATGTCATTCTGTCTACCCACATTGTATCTAATTAACCCAACCAAGCTCCAAATGAATGACTAAACATGATTCAGCAACCTGACATTTTTAAAATAAGGAGCCAGAAGCTAAGTAGAATTTAACCCATCACATCTCAACGTCTCCTTGGAAAAATCCTAAAAATGTTTTTCTTAAAGGACCCTGATGTAACATTTGTCTTAAGGAGAGAATAAATCCCATTGGAAGATTTTGCAAAATGACAGGAAAGGTCACCTGGTAAGGGATTTTGTTCAGAGTTCCTTGTGAGATTCACTTTCTCATATAGTGGAAACGGGGACCCTCTTCTCTGTTTGTAGCCCCCCCTGTTGTGGGTCTCCTCTACTGCCTCTCCTGTCCTGCTATTTCCAAAGAGGCTGACTTGGGCCCGCACTTCTTTCCTCAAAAATGTAGGGGCTCATACATCTTGCCTCAATCCCCAATCTTATTCTCTCTCTTCTGAATCAATCCCCTGTTCTAGCTAAATGCCACACACCCTCCAGGCTTTGTGGGAGGGTGGTGGTGGGGATATTCCAGTCAGACTTCCCACGCATCCTAACTCAACCTCTTAATATAGTTGCATGACTTTGAGGAACTTACCTTCCTCAACCTCAGTTTCCTCATCTTTAAAATAGAATAAGTTAGACTTCAAGGGATGCCTTAATGATTAAATAAAATAATACATGTAAAATTTGGACATAGTACTTAGAACCTAGTACCTGCCCTATAATTAAATATTGTAGCTTTTATTATTGATAAGACTGCCCCCCAACTCCTCACCAGCTACCTCCTCACCAGCTACCTCCTCACCAGCTACCTCCTCACCAGCTACCTTCTCCCATTATGCCCAAATCTGCTTTTTCTGAACTAAGTCACCATTCAGCTGCTTAGCTGGAATGTGGGGTCCTCCAGGTGCCACTTCTTGGCATCACGCTTCTCCATCACCTCCCTGGCTGACTGAGCATCACAGTTACTGCTTTGTGAGGCACATCCATTTTGTCATCCATATTTTGCCTTCAAACTAGGCTGAATGTAAAGGGCCATGTCTTCAACTTCTTTTTACACATTCTTCAGTGATGGTCAATAGATGGTAAAGCTGAAAGCAATAAAGCAAGTTGTTTTGACACCACAGCTACAAGCCATTCCTTTTGTCAACTCTTTTCTCTCTGTTCCAAGAAATAATAAATACAGGGTTTTTGTTCTTTTATCCAGTTCTTTTTGAATATTACTGGTAAAAATGATCAATACAAAATATAACTGACAACATGAAGTAGACTATGTTTCCCTATTCCTCTTTTAGTATGTAAGTATTTTATAAACATTACATAGAATGTTGAAAATATTGTAAATATTACATAAAACATCCTAACATTTATACCTTCTATATGTGCATGTATTTACACATATACATCCTAATATCATATATGAAACAAACAAGAAGATTCTGAAGATGGAAAGAATACAAATGGCTGAAGTTTTCAGGACTTGAGGAACAACATAGTGGAATTCCTTAGAGTTCCATTTGGCCTCCTATCTCCCTGACCTGTCACTAAAGAAACCAGAAACCCCCAAACCATCCCTCCACGCACAATAAGTTTGCTCTCTCAAGCCAAAGGACTAGGGAAAGGAAAGCCTAACAAAAACTTCCAGATAATATCTCTACTCCAGCCCAATACCACAGGAAAATAGTAGCCCCAACCATACCACGCCAGCAAAGACTGGGGAGCCGAGAGCTTCCCCTCTAGGCTGTGATAAGGAGTGTTCTACCCTGGCATTGCCAGTTGTGACCACATGAGAAGACTAGACTTTTCAACCACCACCATTACAGTCACCGGTGCTCCTTATCTCACTACAAGATGGTGTAGAGGAAGTCTGTGAAGAACAACGGTGTGTGTCACCCATCCAGCAACAAAGCCACACATTCTTTGTTGGGGTCAGCAGATGTTGTGTGAGGGGCAGTAACAAAACATTCCTAGCTCTCCCTCCATGAGGTGTCAATGGATGTAGCCAGCACCCCAGTGATGTACCAGTGATGAGGAGCGCCTCCCCCCAGAGATACACAGTGCCCCCACCTCTTAGCTGGCAATGAAGGCTGAGCAGAGAACGAGACTTCTATCCTTACTTGCTGTCAATGAGGCCCTTTCTGGAGAAAAAAAAAAAAAACAGGTTTTTTGGAAACCAAAAAACGGGTTTAAATAAGAGCCAGAGTTTTAAAATATCCAATGCAATGGAAAATCACTCTTCACACCAAGAACAAGAAGATCTCAAACTGAATGGAAATGACAAATCCGATAGAAGCCAACAAGAGAATGACAAAAGTTAGGATAGCTATAAAAGGACATTAGTCATGATAAAAATGCTTCAACAAGCAATTATGAATACACTTGAAACACACCCAGAAAACTTAAGTCTTGGCAAAAGTCTCCATAGAGCCTCAATAAAGAAACAAAAAGTACAAGGAACAAATGGAACCAAATAAAAATAACAAAAAATGAAAAGCACAGTGGCTGGGTCAATGGAATGGAGGGAGCAGAGGAAAGAAACTTTAACAACAGTTAATATTATCCAATCGTAGAGACAGGAAATTTACTGGGAAAAAAACTTGGCAATGCCTCATCAATCCAGGGAGCTTCAACAAAAGGCCTAATATTTGTGGTATGGGAATTCGAAAAGAAGAGGAGGAAGAGAGCAGGACTGAAAGGAATTCTAGAAAGCAATAGCTAAAACTTTCCAAAGTTGGTAAAAGAGCTAACTCTATATATTCAAGAAATTAAGTGAGACCCCAAAAGTATAAACCTATTGAAATTCAGAAGACATATTATGTTTAAACTTGTAAAGTTGAAAAAAAAATTCCTGCAAAAAAAAAAAAATCATAGGATCAAAAATGGGGAAGGACGTGCACAGGACTATGGTAATGGCACACGGGTGACTCAGTGATGGGAAACCCACGGGGATTACAATTGAGATGAAAAAAAATGTACAAAATGATGTAAAAATAAACTATTATAATATATATATAATCCCAGCAACAGGCTGGGAGAAAACATTTGTAAAAGTGTACTTCAAAGGAAAAACAAAACCAGAAACTATAGAACAAAGAGGAACACTAAATTTATGACAGTCAACCCAACAAGGAGACAGCAATTCTAAATACGGATTGCTCAAATAGTGCTATACATATGTGAAGCAAAAGCTAATAAAATTGGGAAAAGATAGACAAATCCACAATTACAGTTGAAAACTTGAACTCCCTTCTCACAGTAATTGATAAATACTAAACAGAAAATCAACAAAGATTCAGAATTCACGACATCATCTAACAAGACCTAACCATTTATAGGCAATTCTAGCCAATGGCAAGCAGCAAAATAAATATTTTTTTTCCAGTCCCAATGCAACATGTACCAAAACAGAACATATCCTGAACCATGAACTTAAGAAACTGGAAAGAATTAAAATCATGTGTTCTCTGACCACCATAGAATCAAACTAGAAATAACAGAATGATAACAGGAAAATTTCCGACACTTTTAAATAATCTTTCAAAGTCTCAAATTTTAAAAATTACACTGAACTGACTGAAAATAAAAGATGTCGAATTTGTGGGTCACAACTAAATGTGGAGAGGGAAATTTATAGCTTTAAGTGCAAATATGAGAAAAGAGGAAAAGTCACAAATCAGTCACTAAGCACCTACCTTAAGATCTCAGCAAAAGAGCAAATAAACCTTTGCAGAAAAAAACTAAGAGCAGAAATCAAAGTAAAAGCAAAACCCCAAAAATAGAAAATCAATGAAACAAAGCTTCTTTGAAAAGCTCAATAAAGGGCCGTCTCTTTATTGAGGCGCAACAGGTTTGATGCAGCACTGCAAGCTAGCCCACAACCACCTCAGTGCGAGTTAATCCTTGGCCCTGGAAATGACCCACATGGCACAGTATAGACCCCTCCTGTCTCTTCCACTGCTCCCCTCAGCAATGTACTTCCACGATCTGCCTACTCTGCTCCCCACTCTGTCACTGATGAATGCACTGCCCCTGCACACCTGGCCTGTACTCCAGTTCTGTATGCATAAATAAATCTTTATAAAAAAGAAAACAAGAAAAGCTTAATAAAGTTCACAAACCTCTGGGGAGAAAAAAGAGAAGACACATTATCAATTATCGTAAATAAAATAAGGATGTCACTTTGATGTCTGTAGACATCAAAAATAAAGTGAA